CAAAGTCTTCCCAACAGTAGCTCGTAAGATGTTTTAGGGTCGATGACATGGAAGAGGGCATTAAGACAACAATTCTTCGATTTTGATCTTGAGATGAATCATACCCAAGACACGTTGCCCCCATTGATTGAAGCTTTGAATTGTCAACTTACTCTTTGACAACTTATCCATGGGAATTTCAAGTTGTTTCATGGTGCGAAATGTCAGGATGTTGACGACTGATCCACATTCAATCAATATACGAGACACCCTATAATCTTGAATATATTTGTTGATGTAAAGAGGTCTATTGTGTGGACAACACGTTAGTTGTAAATCTTCATCATTGAAGGAGATTATTGTCATGCAATCAACATGACTAACCTCATCGGCACCAGTTAGAATCTTTTCTTTAAATCTTTTTGGGTTGATCAAAACTTGTATCAGTGCCTAACGATTTTTTTCAGATAATTCAAGTGCCTTCGACAAACTCAAATTTGATGGCATTTCTTTCTATTTTGCAATCATATTTTCATCTTCTAATACTTCTTTTTGTGCACTTTTGGTACTCAAACATTTATTTGATAGAGTACCTGTCATGTATTTAACTTCATGAGCACTAATCATACAACATGTGACTAGTTCCCTTGCAAAGAATTGGTTGGAAAAATACTCCAACAAAGTAATAGGTGTACGATAAAAAAATTTGTAGTCTTCATCTTCAGTGGTTGTTAGTTGAGAAGGAACTCTTATTTTCACCCCGCGTCTTTGATTTCGGCGAGAATAAGATCCCCTCTTTCTTTTGGGGTGTACTAGTTTATTAGATAAATGAGACAAATATTGTATCTTATGGCATCTACAAGGCTTGACCGTAGTCCATTCCCCCGGATCTTTTTCAATATCCACAGAATCTCCCAAAGAAGGCCACCCACTTGGTTTGAGTTATGAGATTGGTGCCCCCAGCATGAGTTCTGTGTCGTCTAGTAGATTAGATGACTTCATATTAGCACTTGAATTTCGATATTTATCCTTTTTGCTGATGAAAGTTGAGCAACCATCTCCAGTCTCATCTTTCGACTCAGACAATGATGCCCAAACATCTAGATCATCTTTTATTAGCTCATAAAGCGTTGGAATGTTGGGATTTTCGTGTCTCGGCATACTCGTGTATACATAAACTGTTGTCACCTTGTCATCAACAATGAATTGCACCTGCACAACTCTATCAGGAAGGGAAATGGTGAGTTTCTTTCCTTCAATTAATGATGTATCTTTTGTGGAGGTGGAAGAATTCAATAATTGTGATGGTTCTTTAAGATGTACATGAGGGGATGATTGTACTCCTTTATTTTAGATTGGTATAGGGTCAAAAGACTCAAAAGTGACCATTGTCACATTTGCAGTTGTTGTATCTTCATTGGAATTGAGATTAATTTTCTTCTCATTTAGCAGATGAAGAATCTCTTCCTTCAAGATAAAGCATTTTTCAAGGGGATGGCTAACAATCTAATGATATTTGCAATATTTTGGATTATTCCTACTTCTTCTGGCCGTTTAGGCGGTGGAAGCTCGATAAGCTTTAATTTGAGCAACTGATCAAAGAAATCAGAAATTTCAGCATCAGAAAAGGGATAGTTCTTCCCTTCAAATTCTTTCAAACTCGCTCTTGTCTTCTTTTGGACCTGATATTGAGTTAACTTAGCATTGTAGTCTATATTTGACCTTTTATTAGAAATCTTCATTGGTACAGTGGTAATTGTCATAACTTCCTCTGCTTTGAAAGATTTTACATTTTTATTTTCATGAAGATCACTTATCAAATGATTTCCATGTCTAGCGATTTGGATCTCTAAGTCATGGGCTCGTGTTGTAAGTTCTTCGAAAGTATGGGGCATATTTCCCTAGAGGCTATAAAGTAATCCCCATTACATCCATTGGACACACATATTCACTAATGCGCTCCTTGCAATTGAGAACAAGACTCCTCCAATGCTCAACATAATCAATGACGGATTCATCTCTTCTTTGTTTTGTCCCTACAAGTTCAAGAAGACTTACCATACGTCGGGTGCTGTAGAAATGAGTAAGGAACTCTTGTTCAAGTTGGTCCCAATTATCAACAGTCCCCGAAGTAAGATTTGTGTATCAGCCGAACGAGGCACCTCTAAGGGAACGGACGAATTGTTTCACCATTAAATCACCGTAGGTGCCAGCGTTATTACAAGTTTCTATTAAATGGGCAACATGTTGCTTTAGGTTGTCTTTTCCATCAAACTGTTGGAATTTCAGGGGCTGGTAGCCCATAGGCATTTGCATCTCATCAATTCAGCAAATTTATTGTTTGACATATACCAACAAAGATTGTTGAGCTCGCACATATTGGACTCGGATCGTATCTGCAATCATTTGCTGGAGTTGTTGGATAGAGAATGAAGCAACAAAAATTTGAGAAGAATCTCACATGACATTTTGCGTCACGACTCGATCATACTGCTCTTGCTTTTGTTATTTTTCTAAAGATTTAGAATTTTTTGGTGTTTTGGTATCAAATGGATTTGGAGTTTCTTGACTGTTTCCTTTTGAAGGTTCTTGCAATTCGAGCTGATTCAGTAATGTGGCAATTTGCATGTCTTTACCTTCAAGAGCTTTAGTCAATCTTTCGATCATAGTAGTAAGTTGTTGAAGATGTTATTCAGATGAAGTGGCTTCCGTTACTATCACAGGCATAGGTGTATCAGAGGTTGAGGAATAATCACCCCACTTCTACTTAGAAGAAATCTCATAGTAAGATTTAGTCATCGAGTCTGTGCTGGAGTGTGTGTTGAACAAAAAATCATCTATTTCTTCTTCCAAATCAACAGCAGAATGGGCAGGTTGTCTCTTTCTGGTTGGAAGAGCCTTCCTTTTGCTTTGCCTAGGTCCATGCTCCATTGGTGGCAAAATTTAAGATTTGTCCACCTTTGTTCTAGCACGAGTTGTTGGAATTGACTCCTCGACCAGGTCCGCTGACTTGTCGGTGGGAGGAATCACAATGTCTTTAGTTGTCATTGTTGTCAGGTTTGTTGAATTTTTGACTTGAGAGATGAGAGGAAGAAAGTGTCCTACTAAGCGTGCCAAAATTTGTAACAACAAATTTCATGATGTAATATAACACAAAATAAGGTCAAATTACAATAGTCAATTGGATTGATTTTAAGTAAAAAAAATATAATGTTGACTCTCTTTGGCGTGCTTCTCACGTGCACTGTCCTTTGATTCTCAATGAATTTGATGACGAGGGCCGGATCGGTGTATTTCTTAATCTTTGATTTGGCGATGCTTTGGTAGATTTGTTGAAGACGAGAGTCAGATTGACGTGGTTCTCGTTCTTCGATCTTTGACTTGACTCTGTCGAATTTTCTTACCGTTCTTTGTGTTGAATGATTTAAGGATGATTTAGATCTTTTGAAGAAAGACATTGGCGATGTTTCTTCTCCTTAGAGATAGATTTGCCAGACCTCAATTAGGGGCAGACTCTGGCAAAGCTTCGCTATTGATCTTTCCTTCTTCTGTAGAGGTGGACTTGGGTTGAATTTTCTTGATCTTCCCTTCTCCTTGGCTTCTCTTGCTCTTCCCTCTCGACCTCTTTCCTTTGTTTCCCTTCCCCCGACCTCTATTTATAGTGATAAGAGTAGTTATCTATATAAAGGTATTTTACCTGAATACCCTTATGTGAACTTTAGGTAATGGGCTACCCCATAAATTTGTGGACTTTAGTTAATTTATGGAATTTAAGTCCAACCTTTTTTACGTTTTAAATGTTTGTTTAATTTGGACCTATGGTATGGAATTTAAGTCCATTTTAATTTAATTTAACAAGCATGATTAATTGCATTTGGGCTTGTATTATTTAGGGTATGGAATTTAAATCCAATTTAATTTAATTTGACAAGTCTTGTTAATTAAATTTGGGCTTGTATTGTTTAGGTTATGAAATTTAGGTCAAACCCAATGTAATTTATCTAATTGATTTGAGCTCAATTATAAACATTAATTTTTTAATATCTACAGAGTTCACTCATCTAAGGGATGATATATATTTGAATTGTAATTTTTTAGGTTTCATTTGGGTTATGTAGTATTTTTTGAACTTTTCATTTCTATAAACTAGCATAAATATGTAGATTGGGTGTTTTTTCAATATTTTACTTTCTTCAAAGCGCAAAATGGACACGATGGAAAAGTGGTGTTAACTCAGGTCCTCTCTTTCTTATAGGTTTTCCTAATGAAAGTTTTTTGCTTTAGGATCGTTACCAATTACTCTATGTTGTATTCTTCCCTCAATACATTCTCTACTTATTTTCCATTCACGTTGATTTAAGTTAGACATTTTCACAATCAATTTTTGTGTTGCAAGTCTTGAATTAATTATCAGAACTTTATCCACCACTTGCTCGAACAATTACTTAGGCTTTCTGTGGTCATTTCTAGGTGGGTGCTATAGAGGAGGAAATGAAAAGATTGTGGCTAAACTTTAGATTGTCCGAAGAGGAGCAAATGGGTCTAAACATAGCTAGCAAGGCTGAACATTCTTGATGAAAAAAGGAAGGCTATGTTTGGTAGGGAGATTACACTATGGTAGATTCTTCAATAGAGCAACTTTCAAGATGAGATTAGTTTGGAATGTATCGAATGCAGAATTCAAAGACTTGGCCGATAATATAATTTTAATTCAATATAGACCTCTGGTAGACAAGAATAAGGTACTTGAAGGTATGCCTTGGTCTTTTGATAATCACCTTGTTTTATTGATAGAATATGATGGAAATACATAGATGTCGAAGGTTCAAATTAACCATTGTTCATTTTGGGTCCAAGTATATAACCTCCCGTTTAACAACATGAATAAAGAAATAGGCAAAATTATTGGTAATCACATTGGCAATCACTTAAAAATTGATTTGAAACATGAGGGTACAAGTTGGGGTAGGTACTTAACAGTCAGAGTAAGTCTAGATGTGACCAAGCCTCTCCTTAGAGATATGAATGTCAAGGGATTGGAGGCCAATTATTTAGTCTTCTTCAAGTATGAAAGGCTACCAAACATTTGCTACCACTGTGGTTGCTTTGGGCATGGGGAGAAAGAGTGTCAGGTGAGATTGGGGGTCATCAAACTCACCTACATAAGAAAATTTACAGTATACTAATTGGTTAAGAGCTTATGGGGATAAGGATAAAAAGGGATCTCAGTGCCATAAACCATCTACAGTAGAATCGCAAGCCTATGACCCTGATAATAAGGTGGTCGGAGATGATAGTGGTTCACCGGTAGAGACAGAGTCAACTTTCCAAGGGGTGGCGACCATTAAGCCTCCAATCATGGAAGTGATGGAAAGCGGTCCCTTGAAGTTAGGTGTTTTCAAAATTCAGGACTTGGGAAAAAAAGTAGGGATGGAAGGAGTGGAAGATACAATCAAAATAAACCTCTCCAATTGCGCCACAAAAGATCCATTAATCGGAGATTTTCAAATGGTAGAGGGAAAAAGTTCAAAACAAATTCTAAATAGCTTTGGAACCAACTTATTGGACTACCCAAATGTTTTAAGCCCATGTCCAGGTCTGGATATATCTTCCCCAAGCCCACTAATAGCTAAAGCCCATATTGATATGAGTTGTGACTAAACAATTGATTTGGCCCAACCCATTACAAACAAATTGCGGATGTTAATGGGAAAGAAAAAGAAGCTGTCGTCGAACATCACAAAGGAATCTCAGATCTGAAGAGGTGGAAGAGAAATGTTAGGGCAAAATTCACTAATATAAAGGTCTTTGTTCGTGCTTAAACCAAAACATTTGTATACCACCACTGATCACGAATATGTGAAGAAGAGCCTTAAATTTGTGTTCTTGATATAAAAAAAAATACAAAACAGATGGTATCGAGAGACTTGAGGCGTGATATTGAATGAACAGAATAACAATGAATCGATTGGGCTGTCTGGAGGATTGGTCTTGTTATAGAAGAAGGATATGTCTCTTTCTCTACAAAGCTTCTCCTGTAGACATATAAATGTCCATGTTGATGGCTATAATGGAAGGAAGGATTGGAGATTGACAAGTTTTTATGGTGATCTCGATGTTACGAACAATGTTATCAGAATCGGACCGGTCATCGAACTGGCAAGGGGACTGGGCCAATGGTTTATTGGTTCAACCGTTGGGTCAACTGGTCAAACCGGTTATATAATAAAATAATAAAAAATATATATAAATAATAATTATAAAACATAATAATTTAACTAAAAAATATTTTAAAAAAATGTCTAAATTGCATATAATTTGCCATAAAATTTATGAAGTTAAGTAAAAGAAATGTTAAATATCAAAATCAAATGATGTTTGCAATATCAATTCATGGCATACCCAGCAATGTGCAAAATAAACACCAAATAATTAAACAAACAACGTCAAAAGGTCATCCAACATAAATCTAGACCGGAGTAGGCACGGGTCCAACTCCTATTAGGTTGTACTTCAGTTATGGAATTGTACAATAACCCATAAACAGTGAAAAAGGATCTAAATTCACAATTTCTCACCAATTGATTCCAAATTTCGCAGAGGTATTTAGCTTCATACATACACCCATCTACCGAACGCAAAGATGCACCAAGGGTTCAAGCATGATTCAAAAAGAAATTCATGGAATCAGTTAATATAGAGTACTGAGGTACTGTAATAACCAATAAGTATGATCCTATGGAATTGTCGTTCTGAATAACTGAATGGGAAAAGACATATACCTATTAACTTTCCCTTGACCCACCTTAACGTGGACACCTGAGTTGTATACTAATAGGAGAAAGGAGGAGAAGATTGCGTAGAAATTTGGACTGGAGTAACAGAAGAGCAGCACTGTCGCCTGAGCATAAATCAATGGTCACCTAAGCAGCACTGTCGCCTGAGCAGAAATTCGTGGATGCCTGAGCAGCTCTGTGGCATGAGCAGAAATCGATGGTCGCCGAACCCGCCTGAGTAATGAGCTGCACTGATTGCTGCCTCTCTTTAGCTGGTGAGATGAAGGTGAACAGGAGCGGGTCTTCTCGTTCTCTGCGTTCTCCCTTCAGTGATTTAGGGCAAAATTAAAATGGCCCAAACCCAAATAAAAAAAGCAGATTTTATGACTTCAAACCGTCTAATTTAAAAAAATCGTTCGGTTCCTGGTTTTCTCCAAAAATTGGCCGATTTGGTGATTTTTATCCGTTCCCTTCCTTATGCGGTTTAGTTAGTCAACTGGACCGGCTAAGGTCCCAGTTCACGAATGAACCGGTTCGACCAACTAGTCCGATTCGATTCTGATAGCATTGGTTACGAAACGTTCGAATATATGGAGGTTGCTACGCCAATTATGTTCGAAAAGTGATTCCTCTTGGTTATGTGTTGGCTACTTCAACAAGATCCTTACAAATGTTGAAAAGAAAGGGGAAGAAATACAGCCAATTGACAAATAAGGGCTTTTAGGGATGCTCTAGACAACTGCTTACTGGTGGATTTAGGATTTGGAGGCTACAAATATACTTGGTGTAATAATTGGCTGAATCCCTATACTACTTGGGAGAGATTGGACAGTGTGACGCCCGAAATTCAGAGGTCCTTTTTTAACTCGTTGATCACTCATCAACCCGCAGAATACCCGTGAATACCATATAACCCGATACCATATTGTTACACTCCATTCACCACGATCATAACAAAATGGAATTCGAGTAGAGTCTCCTTTGCACTAGAACACTATCCAATACACGACATGTGCATACATTATTCATACAACCATTCCAAGGTCCACATCCCAACGTCTAGGACTTAAAATTTAACCATTCAAATCATCTGAAGAAAAGAACTCAAGATATAAAGGTTTAGAAGTGTTAAAGTTCAAATATCAAATTTAGGGATGAGGTATCGGTACCTAGGATAAGGAATACCGATACCTGAGCTCTTTGGAAGCCAAGTACAATACTTGTGACTAGTATCTAGGACTGTTTAAATTTGAGAATAAAGGAGGTACTGGTACCTGTAAGCCTTAGTACTGGTACTTGGGCCCACTAGCAGCGGGATATTGATACTTGTGACCATAAGTATCGATACCTAAGCCCACTGGAAGCTGGGTACCGATACCTATAATCATGAGTGTTGATACCTGAGGTATAGATTTCTCAAATTTTGACATTTAACCCTACATATTCATACCACATCCATTCATAATGAGATTAAATATCCAAATATAAAGTACTCTTACAAGCCTTTATCCAAAATTCAAGTTTTGTATCATAAAATGTATAAGGCCAAAAAATAATATTTATACAAGGGTCTTCAATTCCAAAATATAAAGCCATAAACCGTATTTGTCATCAATACAGGCTCAAGTGAGGGCAGTCAATTGGAGCCAGTCCAACACCTGAAATATATTCATATAAAGGATGACTCACTCTCAATAGGGTATCTCCTAAGGAGATCACTTCCTAACACAGATGCATACAAAATATCACATGCTAATCATCATGACAAGAATCTATTCAAGCACATTTTTTCATAAATGAATGCTACAATTTCATATCATGCCGTGAGATGAGAACTCATGCATGTAATATAACCCGAGCCCCACCGACTCTCATAATACATGTTATGTTATGCATATGCATCAGGACATTCAAATCCCCCGCCATTGATGTTAGACATCCAAATTATTATTTTATAAAATATGTCTCTTCTTTGGGATAGGGATTTATGTATTTCCACCAACAGTCATCCAACTGACACGACATCTATGGACTTCCACCAACGATTTCGCATACACCGTCACACTTTATGGACTCAATACCAATAGGAGTGTATATCTGAAATTACCAAGTTTTGCACCTAAGGGAGAATCTAGTCCTTCTTGCTAACTCTGACACATATTTTCAATGAAAATCAAAGTGACTCAGTCAGACCTAGGTCCAACTTTCTCAATCCCACGTATCAACCCACCAAAGATTGTATTTGATTAAAAACATGCACACACATCTACACTCATGTCAAATGCTCATAAATTCAATGCTACGCGTGCATTAGCAAATATAATGTGCAAGTGAATTTCATAGCATCATGCTCATTATATCATAAAACATATAAGAAACATGTTCATTTTTCACAAATATTCCCAAGCATGTCACATGTAATTTCAATCCAAATAACATACTTGAATTTTTAAGCATTTTATCAAACACTTAATAGGCAAAAAAATTTAACACATAGCATGCCCAAACAATCCATTTTATCAAACTCAAATCAAGAGATGGTTTGAACATATTCTCATACCCATTTTGGATACCCAAGATACACTAGGTGTGAGGTACTACATGAGAATTCATCTCTATAGCCTTACCCATTTTATATCAAAATCCTACGTTGAAAATAAACATAAATAGGAGGAAATCCTATCTCTTTGTAGCGTGAGCCCTTATCTTAGAAATCCCAAACAAGTCTTCCAAGTCGTAGCCCTCAATTCTTTTCTTTGAGATTTTTGGAATAAAAACGCAATCTTTGGTATAGTTGCATAACCCGTGTTGTTTAGACCAACTTTAATTCTTGGTCTAAAACGATCTAACGGTTGGATCTTCGTGAATTTGGGAAGGAAGATGAAAGAAAGGTTTTCTCTTTTTCTCTCTTCTCTGTCTATCGGTTGGCTCTTGGGGAAGAATGGGTGAAAAACCCAGGGCCTGTTTGATTTGCGTTTCAAAAAATAGTATCCAAAAACAGTTTCTGAAAAGAGTTTTAAGAAAGTGGTTTTAATATTTTTTGAAATAAAAAACTTGTTTGGTTAGATGATTTCAAAAATAATTTTACAATACATAAAAAAAGTAAAACCTGTTTGGACAGCCTAAATATATATATTTAAACAGTAATTCAAACATTAATAAAAAATTATAAAAATATGTATATTAAATACATATATATATATATATATATATATATATAAAATATATAAATTTGTATGTATATATATAATATATATCTATTCACGTATAAATATATATAAATACATATATGTATAAATACATGTATATATATATCTATATATATAAAAGTATATTATATAAATATAATATTTATATAATATACTTATATAAAAATATATATTTATGTATATTTATATATATAAGTATATATATATATATATACCCATATCTGAACATCCAAAATTGTTCTCCTTATTTCCAAAATTTTTAAAGAAAACTCTGAAAATAAACTAAATTTGTTTTCTATTTTTTTGACTCAAATCTCATTTTTTTTCTCAAAATTTAGAGAACAAAAATGCTAAACAAACAGGTTTTTGGTGTTTTTAAAATTTTGAGAACAAACAACTGTTTTGCAGACGCAAACCAAACACGGCCCCAATTTTCCCCCTTTTTATACTTTCCATTTGCTTGACCCTCGTTGTGCCACACACACGCCCCACTTTAATTGGTCCAATTTTATTACGAATAAATTAAATCTCGTCCTGCGTTAAGTTTCATATATTTTTATTGAATAAACTTTAATTTATTTTTTGGATCCCATAAATAAAATCTGATCAAAATAATTTTAGTCACGTGATATTCAATCGTATCGTAAAACATAAAAAATACAATTGTCTCAAAATT